CGGACCTCCACCTGCCGCCGGGCCGCCGGGCGTGGCCGCGCCCCGGAGCCGCCGGGGCCGCGGGGCCCGGAGGCGACGCCGCCCGGCCTCCCGGGTGCCCCTCGGGGTCGCGGCCGGGGCCTCGCGGAGCCGCCGCACGGCAGCAGCGCGGGCGGGGGCGCCTGGGCACCGCTCCCCTCGGCGCCGCCGGACCTGCGCGGCCCGGGACGGACGCCCGCGCCGCTCCGCCGCTCGCGGGCCCGCGGAGACCCCGGCTTCCCCGGTTCCCCGGGGCCCGCGCGCAGGCCCGACTTACCACAGCGGCGGCGGCCTGTCTCGGGGGCGCGCCCACGGGCGGAGCGGCCGGCCGGGCCGGGGCAGGAGAGCGGACGACGCGGGCGGCTCAGCCGGGAGCCGGGACCGCGAAGGAAGCGCCGCGCCCGAGCCAGGGCCGCTGCGGCTCCGGGAGAGGAGCGGGGCCGGGAGGCGGGGCCTCCGCGCGCGGGGGCGGGGCCGGAGGCGGCCCTTGTGCGTGGGGCGGGGCCAAGGGCTGGCTCCAGCCATTGGCGCACAGCGGACCGCCGGCTCGGGGGCGGGGCCATGGGCGGTCCGCTGTGCGCGGGATGGGCCAATGGCTGGCTACAGGGGGCGGGGCCAATGATGGCTCTAGGAGGCAGGGCCAATGGCTGGCTCTAGAGCAGGACATATGGGCGGGCCCTCGGCGCGCAGAGGCGGAAACTAGGGCGTGCCCTGTGCGTGGGGCAGGACCGTGGGCGTGTCCCGGGCGCTGGGGGCCGGGCTGGAGGCGGTGCCGCGCCTGGCGGAGGGGCCGGGAGGCGGGCTCTCAGGTGGGTGGGCGGGGCCTGCGCGCAGCTTCCCGGCCGGCGGTGGGTGTCCATCACCCGGGCCGCTAGCTGCGCCCTCGCTGTGAGACCGCCCCCAGGACCTCACAGGGTGGGCAGGGTGCTCCGCCTCCACCTGGAGTTCCTGACCCACCCGGAGGAAGGGGACACCGGCCATCAGCCTGGAGTTACAGACCGGAGAACCGTGGGGTTCTGGAAAGGTGGGGCCCATGGCACCGGCTCACCCAGCTCCCCCACCACCAAACCCTCCGGGGGAGGTGGGCCCGGGAGGCTGGGGCGCTGGTTCCGGTGCCTCCTCCCCACACGCCGCACCTTTGTGACCCTTGGCATCAGCGAAGTGAAGAAATCCGTTCATGAAATGAGCTTCGTTCCGTGCACTCTGGCTCAGGAATGGGGCTTCTCGGCAACTCTAAAGAGCACTGATGTTTACAGAGAAACTGTACCGCCTTCCTGTCATTCTCAGGAGCCTTCGGCCTGGCCAGTTCGGACCCGCCCCGCCTGGCTGACAGCTGCAGGGCGAGGGGCACCTTGAAGGATGTGGTTCACCTGAGCACTGGTGGCACCAGCTGGGAAGCAGTGCCAGCCAACCCAAGCAGTGCCGCCTGTAGACAGAGGGAGGTAATTTATGTAGAGAGAGGCCTCTACCCATTTAACCCCTTAGGATCCCTCAGGGATTTTCAGATCTAGTCCAAGGCTCCTGGAGGCAAGGCAGTCGTGAAAGTGGTTTTTTTTTTTTTTTTTTTTGGGGGGGGAGGGAGGATGGGACTGGGAGGACCATGTACACTCTAAATTGTACAGAACCTTTTGAATAGATGTATGTGTCTGGAGAAAGGGTATATAATGTTTGTCTCAGAGTCCCAAGGGGACCTATCATTTCTCTCAAGTCACCAAGAATCCTCCTAGATAATAAAAGGCTAACATGCAAATAGTCCCCTCGGGAGTTCCACTGACTGGGAGTTCGACCACTCGTTATGATGTGCACTGACCACCAGGGGGCGGTGCGGAACAAAGAAAGGGCCCTATCAGCCCTGATCACCAGCCAGGCCCAGGGACCCTGCCCCGGCATTAATTTCATGCACCAGGCCTCTAGGCCAATGTTTCCCAAATTTCTCTTATGATGAGAATCACCTGGTGGAGTTGTTAAACTACAGATTCCTGAATCCCAACTAAGAAGTGCTAAACTAGAATTTTGGGGAATATATAGGTAAAATTGTATACTTCACTAGTGCTCTGTCTTAAGTATACAATTTTACCTATATGTTAGAATCTAGACCCGTAATGGTGAGCGGGAGGGGACAGGTGCTAGGTGCCCAGAAAAGCCGGCGGACTCTGCACTAAGACAGTCCTGGAGGTGACGCGGCTCTCGGCTCTTAGCTGTGTGACCTTGGCCAGCTAACCTCTCCAAGCCTTTCCATCCTCGCTAGGAAAATGACATCAAGACCTTCCTTAAAGGACGGTCCTGAGAATTACGTCAAACAAAGTTGGGATAGGTCTGAGAATGCCATGGTTCCTAATGCATGATTTTTTCTCTTCTTTTTTCCCTTCTGATTCCAAGTCAATATTTCTTTCACTACCGAATGCCATGATGCATTTTCATGCACTTTTATTAGACTCCTTCGGTTGCAAGAACAAAAACTCAGTTCAAACGAGCTTAAGAAAAAGGAAATGTCTTTAAGGATACAGAGGACCTTGGAGCCTGAGAACCAGGGAGCTCAGGGATGGCGTGAGGCCAGGAAGGGATGCTGACTCTCTTTGGACCACTGCGTAACTGCTACTGTTGAGAGTCCATTGCAATGCCTGCCTCAAACAGCTCCTTGGACCAGGGGGTGGGGTGAGGGGTGGGGCAGGGCTGCGTACGGGAGCAGCTCTGAGCTTTCCCTGTTCCATTGCGGCTGGTCCTGGCACGGGAGCAGTCAGTCCTCTGAGGACAGCAGGGCCAAGTCACCTTGGGGCTGCTGCCGCTGTTAACTTGGGACGGAGCAGGCAGAGGGAGCAGAAAGTAATGGTTGGGAAGAGGGTGCTGGGCAGACCATCCAATAAAGGCCCCGAGACGTTTCCCCCAAAATGAGAAACGCCATTCTGATCAGCAGTTTACCAGTCAGTCTTCTAAGGGGACCACATGTGACCCAGGAATGTCCCGGAGCCAGAAAAGGGGAGAGGAAGTAAAAGGGCCGGCCTGCTGGTTGACGCGTGCACTTCCTGTCTGGGATTCCGTCAGGGAGACCTGAACAGCCGGCAGGGGCTGGCCTCAGACGGAACCCAGCATGGAAGAGGAATTCAGGAAATGATCGAAAGCCATTAAAATGCTTTCAGAGCCAGACAAGAAGTCATTAAAATGTCTAGGGAGCGATGGTCTGAAACGAGCGCAAGAGCAAGCTGGTGTGGCTCAGCGGTAGGGCGTTGACCCGTGAACCAGAAGGTCATGGTTCAGTTCCCAGTCGGGGCACGTACCTGGGTTTGGGCTTGATCCTCAGGAGGGGATCAGGAGGCAGCCAATCTTGATTCTTTCTCATCCTTGGTATTTCTTATCTTTCTCTGCCTCTCCCTTCCTCTCTCTGAAATCAGTAAGACCATTTAAAAAGGGAGGTGAGCCGAAACCGGTTTGGCTCAGTGGTTAGAGCGCCGGCCTGCAGACTGAAGGGTCCTGGGTTCAATTCCGGTATGTGCCGTGGTTGCGGGCACATCCCCAGTGGGGAGTGTGCAGAAGGCAGCTGATCGATGATTCTCTCTCATTGATGTTTCTAACTCTCTATCCCTCTCTCTTCCTTTCTGTAAAATATCAATAAAATATATATTTTTTAAAAAATAAATAAATAAAAAGGGAGGTGAGGGTGGAGCTGGCCGGGCCTTTTGCTGGGAGACCTTGCGTGTGTTCATGGTTACTGATTCCCAGGTAGAAAACAGCGTCCCCCCTCTTTCCTGCAGTGCTGTCGTCAGGAGTGACCTCTGTGTTGCTGTCCCCGCTGTGAACAGCCTGTCAGAAGCTGGGTAATTGTGGGCTGTCTTCCCTGAGTATGTTGTCCACTGCGCACCTGTTGTATGTGTGTTGTTGTCCAGCTAGTCATTCCGACTGAGGTCTTGACTGCTTTGCAAACTTTCTTTGCAAGTATATTTCTTCTTTTTAGCAAGAGCCTTTATTTCTCCAGGGTATAACCAGAACCTGGGAGGCAGGTTGCCAAACCAATCTCATTTGAAAGCAGTGAACGTGGCCCGGCCAGTGGTTGAGCATCAACCTAGGAACCAAGAGGTCATGATTTCATTCCCAATCAGGGCACATGCCCAGGTTGCAGGCTTGATCCCCACTGTAGGGGGCAGCCAATCAATGATTCTCTCCCATCATTGCGTTTCTATCTCCCTCTCCCTTCCTCTCTGAAATCAATCAAATAGGTTTTTTTATAAAATGTACTCAAATGTAAGAAACCAATGGGATACAAGGCAGAGGCAGAGTGCAGAGCTAAGGAGACAGGCTAAGTCCTCATCTCTCCAGAGGCAGCAGCCTAGAAACAGCAGAGGGCAGCTGGGAAACCTCATCGTCTCCCAGACCAGCCGCTCTCAGTGCGGCCGCAGCCCCAGCAGCCCCTGGGAACTGTGAGAAGCGCCCATTCCTGGGCCCCGCTCTGGGCGAAGACGTACATGCCCTCCTGCTGATCCTGATGCCCGCTAACATCGGACAACTACACGACTAGGTCCTTCCCCAAAGGAATTTCAGGTGTAACAGTCTCTTGGCTTGATTTCAGCACTAGACCTCGCCCTGACTGGTTTGGCTCAGTGGATAGAGCGTCGGTCTGCAGACTGAAGGATCCCAGGTTCAATTCTGGTCAAGGGCATGTATAATACCTTGGTTGCGGCCACATCCCCAGTAGGGGGCGTGCAAGAGGCAGCTGATGGATGATTCTCTCTCATCGATGTTTCTAGCTCTCTGTCCCTCTTTCTTCCTCTCTGTAAGAATCAATAATACACACACACACACACACACACACACACATATATATATATATATATATATATATATATATATATATTTTTTTTTTTTTTTTTTTTTTTTTTTTTTTTTAAGAAAAGGGAACTAGACTTTTTCCCATGGAGATCTCAGTCCACAGCCCTGAGGGACACACACCAGACGACACCACCGGATCCCGTTCGCTCATCCCACGTTTATTAAGCAGTGAGCAGCCCAGAAGATTCCCACCACTTCTGGACCACTTTGTCCCGGACCAGCTGGCCCTGAGGCTCGGTGGCATCCGGAGGCAGGAGAGCCAGGTAGACCGGGGTCTCCGCGCCCTCCTCCACCGTCCTGGTGCCGAAGTCCCCAGCCATGTCCGTCTTCACCCACCCGGGGCAGCACGCGTTGAGCAGAATCCTGTCGGCTTTCCGCTTCTCATCCAGACGCCGGGCCAGGATCCTGGACAAGACCGTGACCCCCAGCTTAGACACGCCATAGGCCGAGCTGGGCCAGCCTTCCCTCTCGTGAACTTCGTTTTTCGTATCCTCCACGAACTTCTTCATGAGCTCCACCAGGTCGCCCTCGGTGAGATCCTCGCAGCAAAACATCTCCTTCAGGGGCTGGCTGCACTGCTCCAGCGCCCGGGAGCCCTGCAGACTGCTGATGTTCACCACTCTGCCTGCAACCACAACCCGGGGCCGGTCACAGGCCGTCGCTGGCTGACTAGGCCACGACGCACTGTGATTGCATCATGCTGCAGGTTTAATCGCTGATTAAAAACTCTACTGTAGCCAAAACCGGTTTGGTTCAATGGATAGAGCGTCAGTCTGCGGACTGGAAGGTCCTGGGTTCGATTTCGGTCAAGGGCATGTACCTTGGTTTTGGGCGCATCCCCAGTGGGGGGTGTGCAAGAGGCAGCTGATCGATGTTTCTAACTCTCTATCTCTCTCTTCCCCTCTGTAAAAGATCAATAAAATATATAATAAATAAATAGAAACAGGTAACATTAATTTTTAAAAAGTATAAAAATTTTAAAGTATTTTAACTTCAAGACTAACAAAAAATGTTGGCCTGGCCAGTTTGGCTCAGTGGATAGAGTGTCTGCCTGCGGACTCAAGGGCCCCAGGTTCGATTCCAGTCAAGGGCATGTACCTTGGTTGCGGGCACATCCCCAGTAGGAGGTGTGCAGGAGGCAGCTGGTCGATGTTTCTCTCTCATTGATGTTTTTAACTTTCTATCCCTCTCTCTTCCTCTCTGTGAAAAATCAATAAAATTTATTTTAAAAAACACACAAAACACAACTCTAGCCCAGCCAGTGTGGGTCCTGGTTTGATTCCCCATCAGGGCACATGCCTGGGTATTGGGCTTGAGCTCCAGTGTAGGGAGTGCAGGAGGCAGCCAGTTGATGATTCTCTTTCATCATTGATGTTTCTATCTCTCCCTCTCCTTTCCACTCTGAAATCGATAAAAATATGTATATACTTAAAACATATTATATATATGGAAATGGAAGACAGAAAAGAAAATTAAATTATGGGAGCTACATAATGCCTCTAAGGAAAATACAAAACCTAAGAGGAAGAAGTGTCCTTTTTTTAATCCTCCCTGAGGATATGCTTGTGGGTTTTGGGGAGAGGGGGTTAGGGGAGGGGAGAGAAAGAAACAGGGAAACAATCAATGTGGGAGAGAAACATCAATTGGTTGCCTCCTGCTGGAGCCCCAACCAAGGATGGAACCCGAGACCCTTCAGTGCATGGGATCCGCTCCAACCAACTGAGCCACACTGGCCAGGCAGGTGTCCTCTTTGATCTAAGGACATGCCTCTGGGAGAGGCAACAGGTGACAGTCTCAGAAGCTGCAGCCATTCCTCCCCCCACCCTCCCTCTCTGCTGAGGTCCCGGGGCCTCACTGGTCCAGAAACACTCTTTCAGAAAGCATGGGCACGTGTCTCCCCCTAGTGGCTTGACACTTCCTTAACCTGTTGACTCAGAACTTCAAACAAATAAGCAAGCGGAAATAACTCTTTAAAGTGATACAGCCCGGCCCAGAGGCTCAGTGACTGAACAGCTCCCAATGAGGCCCTGGTTGGACTCCCTGTCAGGGCACAGGCTCAGGATGCAGGCTCCATCCTTGGTGGGGGGCATGCAGGAGGCAACCAATCAATGATTCTCTCTCATCATTAATGTTTCTCTCTCTCTCCCTTCCTCTCTGAAATGAATAAAAACATGTATTTAAAAAATTAACTTGAATATATATATATATATATATATATATATATATATATATATATATATATGTTAACCTATTAAACCTGAATAAAGAGTGGCTTTTAAATCAGGAAGCTAGCAATTTCCTACAAATCAGGAGGCACCAATGCTCAGAATTTTGCCCTGGAGGGATTCACCTGTCCTGGGTTGATCCCTGAGCCCCACCCTCCCTCTCCCTACTTTTCTCTCGCTGACGGTTTGGTTTGCGATCACGTGGCAACTGCAAGCCTTCCTTCACCAGAACTGATCCTCCATTTGATTGAGGGGTGCGGTCAGGAACCCCAGTGCTGTTTCCAGCTCTCTTGGCATCTGGCTGTGCTCACTGCTCTGAGCCTCAGATTCCTTCTCTGAATGTGAAGGTGTAGGGACGTGAGGTTTCTCCAGGTACGATTTGAAAACCCACAGGGAGAAGACATCTGTACTCGTGAGAGACACCCCTCCAGGGAAATGCTACGCAGCCGTGAAAAAGATAAGAAACCCTTGTCCTGGCCTGGAAAGAGCCCCGGAGAGAGTGAAGGAAGGAAACAGGATGGCAAGCATTATGCTTAACGTCCCCCTTTGTGTAACACAGGGAGCAAAAAAATCCGCATTTAGATTTGCTTGGGTTTGAATGTAAAACTCCACCCCTGGGCCCTGGCTCTCACCACCGCAGGACCCAGGACTCCAGCTTCCTGCTGCCAGAACCTGCAGCTCTGCCCAAGGATTCCCAGCCCACCTGAGAGGAGGCCAATGAAGGGAGTCGCCTGAGGGGGCGGGAGACAGGGGCTGGGCGAGCTGGGGTGGGGGCAGATGGCAATGCAGTGCCGCTCTCTCAGGCAAAGTTTTAGATTTTGAAGTTTATGCACTAGAGGTCCTCTTTATGCAAAATGTTAAATTTTTCTTTGAAATATATTTTATTGGTCTTTTACAGAGAGGAAGGGAGAGGGATAGAGAGCCAGAAACATCGATGAGAGAGAATCATCGATCAGCTGCCTCCTGCACCCCCACCGGGGATGTGCCTGCAACCAAGGTACATGCCCTTGACCTGGGACCTTTCAGTCTGCAGGCTGATGCTCTATCCATTGAGCCAAACCAGTTTCGGCCAAAATGTTACATTTTAAAAAGCACATTTCCAGTGAGAATAACCCTGTTGTTTTTCCTCAAACTCACAACTGACTTCTTGGGAAATAAACTCCTCAGGGAAGCGAGCCTGCCCTCCCCCCCCCGCCATTCCTCTCCCCCCTTCATCCAGATGGTAATAGAAATAGAGGTAGGAATGGAAATGCTAGGTCGGACGGGACGCCACCCCCCAGGGGAGCTGGAGGAGGCTCCCGAGGTTGCAAAAAGGCAAGAGGACTTTTAAGACTTGTAACCCCTGTTGTTCTGGGATTTAGCTCATGTCATGGGAGACTCAAGAGCATCCCCATGTGTCATCCATGCCTTTTAAAGCTGAAGCTTTAAAGCCCTGTAAAAAAAATGACGCCTTGCCCTAGCCGGTTTGGCTCAGTGGATAGAGCATTGGTCTGCAGACTGAAGGGTCCAGGTTCAATTTCTGGTCAGGGGACATGGCCAGGTTGTGGGCTCGGTCCCCGGTGAGAGGCATGCAGCCGATCAATGATTCTCTCCCATCATTGATGTTTCTATCTCTCTCTCCTTCTCCCTTCCTCTCTGAAATATATATATATTTCAGGTATATATTCTGAGTGGCCAGATTATTATAATCTCTGAACGCATAATAATCTGGCCACTCAGTGTATATTCTATATAATAAAAGGCTAATATGCAAATTGTCCCCTCGACCAAGAGTTCAACCAGCAGGCAGGCTGGCCAACTGCCATGTCCCCTCCCCTGGCCAGGCTGGCCGGACCACACCCATTTACAAATTCATGCACGGAGCTTCTTATATATATATATATATATTGAGTGGTCAGATTATTATGTGTTTAGAGATCATAATAATCTGGCCATTCAGTGTGTGTGTGTGTGTGTGTGTGTGTGAGTTTAATGATGCCATTTCCTATGTTTCCCCTCAGAGAACAGCACCCTGGGGGACCCCTTTGGGCAGCAGAGCCCCTCACTCTTGCTGAGGGGTGCAAGGTGACCGTGCACACGCTGGACTCACCATGAGGCTTTACGATGGGCAGCAATTCGTTGCAGACATTCCTCGTGGCAAAAAAGTTGGTCTTCAGCGTTACCTCAGCTTGGATGTCAAAGGGCGTGGGATCATCAACTTCGAAGAAGAGAAGGACACAAGGGCAAGGTCAGGCAAAGCGGGCCGCTCTCTAATGAAAGGGGGACGCTGGCTTTTCCGTTTTTAGACCACTGGGTCCGGGGCTCGCCAGCTTCACCCTGAGCCTGAGTCACCTGCCGGGCCTGTGCGAACACAGCTCCCCGGCCCGCCCGGGATGGGACGGAGCCGGTCTGGGTGGGGCACCGGCACTGGCACTTCCAGCCGGTCCCCAGGGGACGCTCAGCGGCTTTGACCTTTGCTGCTGGGATTGGGAGGCAGAGGGGGTCCAGGAGGGCCTGTGGAGCTGGGGGTTCTGCCTCAGCGGGTGCCAGGCAAAGCCTGGAGCTCTGCGCTGGCCGCGGGGACCCGGCTCGCAGGGGCTGCGCCCACCGCGCACACAGGGAGGCAGGGCAAGGCTGCAGGGCAGGCCAGGGTCCCCCCTCTGCAGCTCAGGACGCCGGGCCCCTGTCCACCGGGCCCTCGGCCATCGGTGTGTGTGTGTGTGTGTGTGTGTGTGAGCCACCCACCCTCTGCGCCCCCAGAAAGCCCGCACAGGGAGCAGCAGGTGGGGTGCGCGGCCTGGGGAGGAAGATTCGTGCTCCCCAACAGTGCGCTTTACTCCGCTCCCCACCGGGTGTGCGTGAGGCCGGCCTGTTCCTTCTTTCTAACCCGCAGCACTTAGCCCAGAACTTCCTTTTATTTTATTTCATTTTATTTACATTTTTTCTTTTATCAGGGTATTATATGTGGACATATCTTACCATCGTTCCCCCACCCCACTCCCACACATGCCCTCGCCCCCAATGTTTTGCACCTGTTGGATGTTTTATGCATTCGCACAGTCCTTCGGTGGATCTCTTACCCCCCCCCCCCCCCCCGCTCCCTAACTTCCCCGCTGTACTGTGACAGTCTGTTTGATGCTCGCTCAGAACTTCCTTAATCCAGCACTGGAGTGAGCCATCGCTTTAGCCCCCTTCCCCGCCAAGTATCCAAGATGCCACCCCACACCACCCTGGTCCGCCTGGTGACCAGCACAGCTCCCCCGGGGGAGGGCGCAGGCCGGCTTCCTTTAGCCGGAGCCTATCCAAGCTCCCCATTAAGGTCTCGGCCCTCTGTGTGCCCGAGCGTCCTGGCCGGGGCCCAGAGACTCATTTCCTGTCCCAGCAGATGGCTCTGCGCCTGTGAATGCGCCTTTCAGAAAACGAAAGCCCCGCGAGCTGAGACCCCGCAGAGACAGCCTCTGGCCGGGACGGAGCTGAGCTCAGCAGGGCGTGGCCGCGCCCGGAGGCCGTGGACTCCAAACCGGGGCGGCCGTCCGCGCGGCGGGGCCGGGGCTGCCAGGGGCCTGCGGGGAGCGGGGGGCGCGGTGCCCAGCACCCGGCGCGCTCGGCGCGGAGCGAACCGCTCCCCAACTCCGGAGGCGAGCCCCCGCCGGGGCGCACGCCGCCTCTCCTCGCCATCGCCCCGCCGCTGCTGTGCCGCCCTCGGGGCACCCAGGGCCCCCCTCTCCCGCGCCTACCCTTGAAGGCGATGCCCGCGTTGTTGACCAGCACGTTGAGGCCGCCGTACTCCTGGCGCAGGAAGTCGCGCAGGGCGCGGATGCTCTGCAGGTCGTCGATGTCCAGCGGGTGGAAGCGCGGGCTCAGCCCCTCGGCCTGCAGCTGCTGCACGGCCGCCCGGCCCCGCGCCGCGTCCCGCGCCGTGAGCACCACGTCCCCCGAGAACTGGCGGCACAGGTCCCGCGCGATGGCGAAGCCGATGCCCTTGTTGGCCCCGGTGACCACCGCCACGCGGCTGCAGGAGGACATGGCCGGGCGGGGCGCGAGGAGCGGAGGGACCGGAGGCCTCGGGGGCACCCGCTCCGGGGACCGGCCGCGGGCAGGGAACCGGGCCGAGCGGAGTTCTGGAATCCGGGTGCGACTTTGAAGAGCGAGGCCCGGCCTCGGTCCCTCCCTCCGAGGAGGGGCTTCTGCTCTGGAGCTTTGGAAACGCCCCGATCCTGGCCCGGCCCGCCCCGCGCGGCGCCCAGTCCAGCCCGGGGGCGGCTGTGGTCCTCGTTCTCCCAGCAAACCCGGCCGACGGGCCGAGAGGAGAGAAGCAACTACCCCAAAGAGAACTCCGCTCGGGTTCTTTGGAGGCAGAACCCCAAAGGAGAGAGAGAAGGGCTGCCTGATTTTCTTGGGTGCGCGCCCATCATCCCCTGCAAAAGGCGGATGTTTGCTTTTTCCTTAAAATGCATTGACATTTAACTGAAACCGGTGTGGCCCAGTGGGTAGAGGACTGGCGGATAGTGGGCTTGTGGACCGAAGGGTCTCAGGTTCGATTCCGGTCAAGGGCATGTGCCTTGGTTGCGGGCGCATCTCCAGTTGGGGGAGGGGGTGCAGGAGGCAGCTGATGGATGTTTCTAACTATCCCTCTCCCTTCCTCTCTGTAAAAAAATCAATAAAATATATTTTTTAAAAATGCAATGACATTTTAGACTCCCAACTGCTTCCGAGGAAGTTGCTTGCTTAAGAGAATCTCCAACGAGAATTGGAGGAAAGTGGTCCTCTGAGGAGAACCCGGGGCGCGCAGGGCGCATCCCTTTGAGCTCCCCAGGGCGCCCCGGGCGGGAGGGGGTGTCTGTGCCGCTCTTCCCGGTGCCAAGCCTCTTACTGGGATGTTTTCATTCCATCCTTACCTGCCCCCTCACGGCTGCAAACTGCCTGCACGTTAGGTGTGTCCCAGGTGACATGCATACTTTTCTCTCTCCCAGTGAAACCTGTGCACCCACAAAGCTCAGCTGAAAAGGAGTCCCAAGGCGCGCCCAGGTGTGGATGGGCAATAGCGCTCCCGCCCACCTGCCTGAGTGCGGTCTGGGCGTGTGTGATGCGGGCGTCTCCTGGCGGCCTGTGGGCTGAGGGAGAGCTTCCATCTCATCGTGACTCAGCTTTTCCCTGCAGAGCAGGTGTGCGCCTGCCATGTGCGGTGCTCACTGTAGCTCAGCCACCTGCGGATTGTTTGGAACTCAAAGACATAGGGCCAGCGCAGCCGGTTGGGTGACGGCCTGTGAACCAAGAAGTCACAGTGAGGGCACATGTCAAGGTTTTGGGCTTGATCCCCAGTGCGGGGTGTGCAGGAGGCAGCTCATCAATTATTTTTTTCTCATCATTGATGTTGCTATCTCTCTCTTCTTCTATGAAGTCAATACTACTACTAATAGTAGATATAGGGCTATGCAGTTTCTTGTGGGCACTTAATTTGTGTTTTTTTTTAAATTAGTACATTTCATCTAAGTTGTTGACTCTGTTTATATGAATTTGTTCAGAATATGCCCTTATTAATCTTTTTAATAGTGGTAGTGATGCCACCCCTCTCATTTCTGATATTAATAATTTGTGTCTTTCATGTTTTCTTTTCCTGGCTAAAGGTTTATATTTAAAAAAAAATTTTTTTTTTATCAAGGCAGCAGCTATTTGGTTTCATTGATTTTTTTGTTTGTTATATTAGATTTTTGTTCTAGTCTTGATTTCTTTTTTTACTCACTTTGGGTTTTATATGCTTTTTCTAGTTTCTTACCAAGAAGGTGCTGTCATTGATTTGAGATCTTTCTTCTTTTTTAATAGAGGCATTAAGGACTATTAATTTTCTTTTAAGTACTGAGTTAGCAGCATTCAATGAACATTGATATGTTGTGCTTCAATTTCAATCAGTTTGAAATACTTTCTAATTTACTTTTTAATTTTTTTCAGTTTTTAATTTTATTGGTTTCAGAGAAGAAGGGAGAGAAAGAGATAGAGACATCAACAATTAGAGAGAGCCGAAACTGGTTTGGCTCAATGGATAGAGCGTCAGCCTGTGGACTGAAGGGTCCCAGGTTTGATTCCAGTCAAGGGCATGTACGTTAGTTGCGGGCACATCCCCAATACCCAGTAGGGGATGTGCAAGAGGCAGCTGATTAATGTTTCTCTCTCATCATCAATGTTTCTAACTATCCCTCTCTTTTCCTCTCTGTAAAAAAACAATTTAAAAAAAACAACAAAAAAACATAATCAGAGAGAATCACTGATCAGCTGCCTCCCGCACGCTCGACACTGGGGATTTATCTGTGATTCTTTTCAAACTGACTTTGCTCTTACTCTGAGCCACTACTATCCTTTGTGTCCCAGATAATTAGGTCCGACCTAAGCATTCCCAGCAATGTGTATTCAAAGTTCTTCTTGTTCAAAAGGCCCGTTGTCAAGAGAAACCAAGATGGCGGCAGAGTTAAACACTTATACTTGCTGCCTCTCACAATCACATCAAAATTAAACTAAAAGACAGAAAAACTATAATCTAGAACACGGGAAAGCTGGCTGAGTGCAAGTTCTACAACTAGAGGTGAAGAAAACGCATTGAGACTGGTAGGAGGTGCAGAGGCTCGGAATGGGCTGGCACCAGGGAGAGCCACTTTTTCATTTAAAAAAAAATATCTTATTGATTTTGTACAGAGAGGAAGGGAGAGAGATAGAGAGTTAGAAACATCGATGAGAGAGTCATCTATCAGCTGCCTCTTGCACACCCCCTACTGGGGATATGCCCGCAACCAACGTACATGCCCCTGACTGGAATCGAACCCAGGACCTTTCAGTCCCCAAGCCGACGCTCTATCCATTGAGCCAAACTGGTTTCGGCGAGAGCCACTTTTTCAATTGAAGATGGGCTTTCTGAGCCACCAGAAGAGCCGGACAGGTGACTACCTTGTCCTCTCTCCAGCCCAGAGTCCAGCCCCTTCCCTTCCCAGGGTGAGCCGTGAAGTGGTTGAGGGTCAGAACCAAGGCGAGTGTCACATAGGTGGCGGGGAGGAGGCACGTCCTGCAAACCCGCAGTGCGTCACTGCTCCCCGCTCCCCTTCCTCTCCTGCGCTGGGGGCCTGTGTGCTGAGGGTGGGGTCCCCCCAGGTCCCCACAGGCTCAGGCAGGAGGCAGGACCAGGTGTGGGTGGCTATTCTTTTCTTTTTGAATATATATTTTCTTGATTTC